AGGTGGCGCTCGAACTGCTCGTCCAGGCTCTTAAGGTCGATCTGGTCTGCGCGCACGAACCCAGCGTCGCCGCCCGCGCTGGTGGGCTGCCTCATGATTGCAGTAGTTGGAGCCGGGAGCACCCGGAAGGTGAGCGGCGGTGGCAGCGGATGTTGTGGGGTTGAGCGGCGTGGAAGGCCTCATGCGGTTTGGCTCCCGTAGTGTATGAAACCCTAAGTGCTCATTTTATACTAGTGCCCGCTACGGGCCTCACCCTGGGCCTATTGGGCCTCGGCCTTAACCGAGGCGGGCTTTGTAGGATGCCCGCCACGGTAAATCGATTTACCGTGGCGGGCAAAAGTGTCCGCCTCAGTAAATAAAAAATGCCCGCCGCGGTAAATCGTGGGATTTACCGCAGCGGGCAAAAATAGGAGCCCGCCGCGGAGAGCGTTATCGCAACGCTGCGCAAATTTGTTTTTGTAGTAGTGGATCAGATATCCAGTTCAAATCAGTATATCCCTCAAGCACAGCTGGGTGCCTAGAATAGTGAATCTCAAAACTCATTGTACCTTTAAGATAACGCAAGACCCTTTCAAGTGCACGCCAATGATCATCATCCTAGTTGGATGTGTACCTACTCAGCTTGCTCATAGCAAAAAAGATATCTGGTCTTGTTGCGCTAGCTAAATACATGAGTGAACCAATAATCTGAGAGTATCTCAAATGGTCTCTACCTATCTTTCTGTTGTTTCTCAAAGTCACGCTAGGATCATAAGGTGTTGGAGAAGGCTTGCTATCCATAAAGCCAAACTGACTCAAGACCTTCTCAACATAGTGAGATTGCAACAAAGTAATCCCACTCTCATTCTTAATCAGCTTAATGTTTAGAATCACATTAGCTTCTCCTAGATCTTTCATGTCAAAGCTCTTAGACAGAAAAGACTTGACCTCATTAATTGCATCAATGTTCGTGCCAAAGATTAGAATATCATCGACATATAGGCATAATATAACATAATTGCCCCCACCATGTCGATAGTACACACACCTATCAACCTCATTTATGGCAAAGCCCACACTCGTTAAAGTTGTGGCAAACTTCTCATCCCATTGTTTAGGCGTTTGTTTCAAGCCATACAAAGATTTTAGTAACTTACACACTTTGGGCTCTTCACCTTTTACTACAAACCCATTAGGCTGATCCATATAGATTTCCTCATCCAACTCTCGATTAAGGAAAGTTGTCTTCACATCCATTTGATGAACGAGAAGACCATATGAGGCAGATAGGGAAAGTAGCACTTGAATAGTGGTCATTCTAGCAACAGGTTAATAAGTATCAAAGAAATCCATGCCTTCCTTCTGGGTATAACCCTTAGCCACAAGCCGAGCCTTGTATTTGTCAATAGTACCATTAGGTCTATGCTTCTTTTTGAACACCCACTTGCAACCCACAGGTTTACAACCAAACGATAGCTCAGATAATTCCCAAGTTCCATTAGAGAGAATCGAGTCCATTTCACTACGAACAACTTCTTTTCAATCATCTGCATCTGGAGATGCATACGCCTCTACAATAGAGGTGGGAGTATCGTCCACAAGGTACACAATGAAATCAACACCAAAAGATTTTGTAATCCTTTGTCTCTTGTTCCTCGCATGAACTTCATTGTCATCCTTCTCAAGGACTTCTTCAAGTGGTTGCTCAAATGACTCAATAGGAGACTCAATAGGTGTAGTAAAATTAGGAGCTATCTCAGAAGAAAATCTAGCATTGCTATGCATATCTTTCATAGGAAGTATGTTCTCATAAAACTTAGCATCATGAGATTCCATAATTGTATCAACATGCATATCAGGAACTTCATATTTTACTACTGAAAACCTATAGGCAATGCTCTGATGAGCATATCCTAGAAAGACACAATCTACAGTCTTTGGTCTAAGCTTGCGCTTCTTAGAAATTGGTATGTTGACCTTCGCCAAGCATCCCCACGTGCGCAAGTATGAAAGTGATGGTTTCCTCCCAACCCAATTCTCATATGGGGTTGTCTCTTTATTTCTGTTTGGAATTCTATTCAGGACATGACTTGCAGTCAATAAAGCCTCCCCCACCATGCCTTAGATAAACCTGCAATGTCTAACATGGCATTCACCAAGTTAGTTAGCGTGCGGTTCTTCCTCTCGACAACCCCGTTTGATTAGGGCGAATAGGGAGGCGTCCTCTCATGAATAATGCCATGTTCCTCACAGAATTCATCAAATAATGTAGGGAAATATTCACCACCACGATCCGACCTTAGACGCTTAATCTTTCTCTCTAGTTGATTCGCAACTTCAGCCTTATAGAGTTTAAAGTAGTCTAGCATTTCATCTTTAGTTTTCAGCAAGTAAACATAGCAAAATCTAGTTGCATCATCAATTAAAGTCATGAAATATCTCTTTCCACCTTTTGTCAACACACTATTCATCTCACATAGATCAGAATATATGAGTTCTAGACGTGCCAAGTTTCTCTCCTTCGCTGCCTTGTGAGGCTTTCGAGATTGCTTTGATTGCACACAACTATGGCACTTAGAACCTTTGGCAATAGTGAAATATGGAATTAAACTCATGCTAGACAAACGTGACATCAACCCAAAATAGACATGGCATAAACAAGAATGCCAAACACTTGAAATATCATTAATTGTGCCACAAATGTGATTCACTAACTTATTACAAAAATCTGCCAAAGATAGGCAAACAAGCCTCCGCAATCATAGCCTTTACCAGTAAATCATCCATGCTTAGACATTACTACTTTATTGGACTCTAACACTACCTTAAACCAATCTCTCAAAAGAAGGGAAACACTAACTAGGTTCTTCCGTATAGTAGGGACATGCTGCACGTTCCTCAGATGCACGATCTTTCCCAAAGTAAACTTTAGATCCACCATGCCAACACCACGAACAGAAGCATGCGACCCATTCCCCATTAGGACGGAGACACCTTGGAGCCCCTGATAAGAAGAAAACATAGAGATGTTAGCACACACATGAATATTAGCACCTGTATCCACCCACCAACTTGGAGATTGAAACACTGATAGTATAGTAGGAAGATTACCATACCCGTCATCAGCATTGTTAGTAGTCACGAGATTGACATTCTTCATTTTCTCTTTGCGGTCTGCTCGCTCCGGACATTCTTTGGAAAAGTAGCCAAGCTCTCAACAAGTGAAGCAAGGCAACTCTGCTTTATCTTTCTTCTTCTTCTTCTTCAAGGTAGTAGTAGACTTGGCATTGAAAGGCTTATTCTTTCCTTTGTTCTGGCCATGTGGCTTTCTCTGGACAAAATTGGCACTAGATGACCCTCGTTCCCCTTTTCAATGTTTTCCTTAGCCCGAGCCTTCTCCTCAACATCAAGAGATGTTATCAGGTTTTCAACTGATATTTTCTGTCTATTGTGTTTAAGGCTTGTGGCGAAGCCCCTCCTTGAAGGAGGCAACTTAGCAATAATGCACCCGACTACAAATTTCTTGGGTATGACACACTTAAGGAGTTCAAGTTCCTTAGCCAGACGCTGAACCTCATGAGCTTGCTCGACTACAGATCGATTAGCAACCATCTTGTAGTCATGAAAGCTCTCCATGATGTACAGCTCACTACCAGCATCTGATGCACCATAAGTACCATTCAGATGATCCCACAACGTCTTTGCATCTTTTATGTGCAGAGTTGAATCAAACAGATGATCAGAAAGTACATTCTGCACAGCTCCCACAAAGATCTCGTTGGCATCCTAGAATCTTCTCAGATCTTCTTCAGAGATATTTCCCTCAGGCATGCCAACGCTCACCCAGAACACTTTCATGGTTGTCAACCAATTGGAGATCTTTACTTGCCATCTCTTAAAGTGCACAATAGAAAAGTTTTTCGGCCTCAGCGCGTCAGCGAAACTAGCCATAGATAATTTAGGAAAAAGCTTACAATAAGGTTTTTGGATTGTTCAATAATTAGACAATTTTCTGATTAATTTCCAGACTAATAGCAGAATATAAATCATGAGAATCTCATAAACTAACATGCAGATCTCTAACATACTTGTTAAATCAGTCAGCATTAATAGCAATATAGCTAGCAACATAGCTAAGATCATCATGATCAACACAATAGACAAACGACAATAATAGATTGGTCACGTGGTGTGTACCTTTTGTTTGTAGAAAAAATAGTGTCACTCGTGAAGATGATGCCAGAGGGAGACGCTACTGGTGGTGGTACTAAGCCATCGATGAGTGGTGAAGGAAGAGCTCGGAGCAGATGATGATGAATATGATGGGACGTAGCGCCGCCTGACTTGGATGGAAGACGGCCCGTCGTGAAAGTCGGGAGCAGTCACGCGCGACGAGCGCTTCCCAAAAACCTTATTCATCCTGTCGCGGTGCCGGATCACAAGGACGAGGGTTTCGGAGACCTACTCTCCTGAATGTCGGTGCATGCAGACGCCGGGATGGAGAGACTACGGCGACAACACAGCAGTGAGAAGAGGAAAATACTAATTTACTACCTTTGGATTTTCCAAACTAGAACTCCTAATAGTACTTTTTAGTGTGTCTTTTCTCAGAAGGATCGGTACATATATATAGATGACTACCTCCACATTCACTATCAATATGATACTAATTGATGTTGTATCTCCTATCTCTACTCATTGGCTTAAACTTTAAAGTTCACTGGGGAACACAAGTATTGGGCCTTTGAGTTTTTTAGAAATTCTTCGTATGGATTTAGGAAAATTATCCATGTAAATTCTAACAAGCAGCAGGGGTGGGACGCGGACCAGCAGGGGCGTTGACCCAGAGCTGCTGCGCTCGCTGCCTGTCATGGTGTACAAGGCGATGGCGACGCAAGGTTCGGACAAGGGACAGCCGAACGCGGTGGAGTGCGCCGTGTGCCTCGCCGAGCTCCAGGACGGCGAGGAGGCCCGGTTTCTGCCCCGCTGCGGCCACGGCTTCCACGCCTGAGTTCGTCGACATGTGGCTCGCCTCCCACACCACCTGTCCGCTCTGCCGCCTCACCGTCTCCAAGCCTGACGTATCTCCTCCGGCACCTTCCTTAGCTCTTCCACCTGTACCCCTGGAGCCCGCGAACTATGCCACCGCCACCAACTTGCCCGCCGGCGTGCTTTTCGAGGTGCCCAACCATGGTGCGGTCATTGCTGGCGCTGGCTCCATGGCCGCCATGGTGATCGAGATCCCAGAGTTGGCCGTGCCGACGCCGATGCTGACCCCGCGCGACGCTGCCAAGTCACCGGGCTCGACGAGGCTTAGATCGATCAGGAGGCTCTGGAGCTTCGGTAGGCAAGGGGCCAGAGCGACTTCTTCCTGCTCCTGCTCCTGTGCCGGTGCCGATGCTAGCGAAGGAGTTGACTTGGAGCAGGGTATCAGCTAGCGTTACCATCTTCGCTTTCTCATCCGGGAGGCACCATTGCCGTTGTAACGGGACATGCGGCCGACCGCCCAACCGGAGAGCACCACCAATTCATGTACTATTTTTTTAGTTCAGAATATGTACATTCTTTTTTCTTTTAGATTTTACACTTTTGAAGGCGGTCTACCAATTGTCATACACTTTTAGTTTAGAATATGTGCATTCTTTTTAGTTTACCAATACTTGGCCTAAAACCATTGTCATCACGCTCCACTCCTTTTCTACCCACATTTCTAGCTTATATCATGTCCAATTTATATTAAGGCCAAATTAAGGTAGTCTTTAGTTCTCTTGATGAGCTCCTTCACTTCTCGATAAAATTGCTATCCAAGTCTTAACAACTTGTTTACTTCCTCGATTCTTTGTAAACCTAAAATTCTGATAATATCGTGTCTTTTCCTTGCGAATCCATATTTTGCTTCCCGCCCCCCCTCCCCCCCACCTTGAACCGCATGTCTGCTAGAGCCACTGCTGCCTCAAGTAGCCTGGTGCCATCATCATGTCAACATCCTTGTCACTGTGACCCCGACTGACACCATTGAGTTGTTGAAGTGCAACAATGGCAGACCCTTGTCCGCCCACAAAGGTCTAGTGGATCTAGAGAAGAAGGGATTGGGGTTGAGAGGTGATGGATGCGAAGAAGGCAAGGATCATGGAGAAGACTCCTCCCCCGCCTAATCGGGACGACGCCCCATCCCTAGCAGGGATCTCGGAGGGCGCTGGCGCTAGGGAGGCGATCAGCGACAGCTCGCAGGTGGCACACAAGGGAGGGAGTTCCCTCGCACGATTCTAGACGCACAATTGCCAAGAGACACTACCCTACACTACTACAAAATGATTCTGCGAGACAATGCCCAAACATTCACGTAGGTGGTCACAGAATGTAACTATCTCCTAAAATACCTGTCGGGGACCAATAGTAGGGTACCGAAGAGGAGTAGATACCCATCAATGCTAATTCATCAAAGCGATAAAAAACGTGACTACATTTCTCAATAGGCCCCGCCTCGTCCAAACCACCAATGCCACGGGCTCCATTTTGTCCGATCGTCCGACCTCCAAGGGTTGGCAACGCCTCAGGCCGACCCTCGGGGGTGGCTCCGCCTCGCCCGACGTCTGAGGGGTGGCTCCGCCTCACCAGACGTATGGGGGCTAGCTCCGCCTCGCCCGATGTCTGAGGGTTGGCTCCGCCTTGCCCGATGTTTGAGGGGTGGCTCCGCCTCGCCCGATGTCTGAAGGCCGGCTCTGCCTCGCCCGATGTCCGCCTCGCTCGACGTCTACGTGTGACTCCTTCCTAATGACGCGCGTAGACAACGCAGGGCACTCAAGTCAACCGCAATACCGAGGACCATACCCTGCATGCCTGCAGGAAAGTACCATCAGAATATAATAAGAAGGGCGCTTTGAGACCTTCTAGGCATGTCAGAGCCCAAACAATGTTGTAGGCGCCGACATTTGTCTTACAGTGTTGTGGACGCCGCCATCTGCCCTTGGGCACTGATCCTAACAGAAGCTCACGACAACCACTACGGTCTAGGAGGAAACTCGTGCCACCTACAGTAATGGACGTACGATCACTGCACCGTCTGCTCCCTGTATGGCTACGGATCAGCACCCTGGTCCGCCGCATCGCCCGCCGGAGCGGGATGGGATGTGACAACTTGCTGACAATGCTAGGACATGGCATCATCAGCGAACAGACGCCCAACGAGGCCCTATCAGGATCAGCGAACATGCAACCAGTGTGGAGTTATCCCTGGAACTGCCTGCCATGTCAGTGGGCCCCCCATAGAGGAAAAGGAAGACCCGACATCTTTGAAGGACCTCCTTTGCCTCTAGTTTCCCTCTTTTCTCCCATATGTAATCCCTGCTCCCCCTTGGCCTATAAAAGGGAAGGCAGGGAACCCCACTAAAGGGGATCAATTCAACACACCACGCATCACATCACACATAGCTGAGCAGCAACCAAGCTCTCAGCACCCATTCAACCTTTCCATCAGAGACTTGGGACCCATCCCTCTCTCGCCCATTTGTAACCCCTACTATGAACTTTTCAGCGCTAATAACATGAGCAACAACCATGAACTGGACGTAGGGACATTCTGTCCGAACCAGTATAACCCTTGTGTCTTTTTAGCACATCATCCGGGCCAGACGCGCAATAACACAAATTTACTCATTGGCGTTTACTCAAAACACCGACAGTTGGCGTGCCAGGTAGGGGCCTTTGCATGTCCCAACATTAACATTAGGCCTTGGATGGCTAGTCACGGCATTAGCTGGTTCTCGGGCACACACGTGTGCTTCGGGGACCTAGACTTCATCATCACGGTGGGAGGAGAGTTGGCATTAGCTCACGCCGCCATCCAACCTCTCCCCTCCATCGGCCTCGACTACGGGAGGCTTGAGCGCTAGCTCGATGTCTCTTTAGGACCCCAGCAGTCCCGGGAGGACCTACGCCGCCTCACCTTCTCTTACGCCAATGACATGGCGTGGCTCACCGAGGGGACCCCTCTCTCTAGAACACCTTATCCAGAGCACCCCGATAGTGCTTCCGTTCGGTCTCCACAATGTCACGGAGACCGTTAGCCACCTTGTGGCACAACGCATGATTCCACCTCCCACGAATGATGAATTCATGGGGGTGATCAAACACATCATGGAATCTTTCCATGACCTCCTCGTAGAGGAGCCAGAGTCACCCTCTGGCTCGACTCTAGCAGGGGGAGTCATCACCCCTCTCGTGAATGCTTCATGATGGGTACCCCTGAGGGGCACATCGAAAACGTCCACGGGGAGGAGGCTTCCCCAACAAATGACCTCGATGATGAGGCCGAGAGGGAGACAACAGCCCTACCTCGCATGCGGGTGGAGCAGTTGAAAGCCTAACACCAAGAGCTTGAGGAAGCGTGACTCCAGCTCGAGCAGGAGCGAGCAGAGCTCGATCGAGAGATCGAGCACCATGGAGACGGTGGGCGCGCACACGCCATGGCCTGAGACATGAACCGAAGGATCATCACAGACGATGAAACCCTCCCTCGCTTCATTCGGGTAAGCTAGAACATCGCCGCCATGACGGCCTTGCTCCATGGTCTTCCAAAGGCCGCGACACCCTAGGATCATTGGGCCCACCATGAGATTCGCACGCTACTCGAGCGTGCGTTGGCACAGCAGGCAGAGAGCTTGTTGTCTCGGTGACACGAGCTCGACGCCAGCCAACGCACACTCTCCGAGCGCCTCGGCAGGGACATGTCGGTCCACCAAGCGCCACAAGGCGACAGGCAGCGTGCCGCGGTCCCGGTGCAAAAACATTTTGGCCGCAACCATGACGCACGCGACACCCTCGATGCTCGTAGGTGTACTCACGATGACCCAAGAGAGGGAGCTAGCCATGGCTATCACCCTCGCCATGGCAGACGCTATGACAGCGGCGAGGACTAAAGCCCGAGCCCCGGCCTTTGGGCCTCAAGCCTTCGGTCGACACATTCTCAAAGCTGCCTTCCTACCAAGGTACCGACCACCAACCAACATCCTGAAGTACTCTAGGGAAACAAACCCCGGACTATGGCTCGAGGACTATCGGCTTGCCTGCCAAGCCGGTGGTGCGGATAATGATGATTTCATTATCCGCAACCTTTCATTATTCTTGGCCGATTCGGCACGAACATGGTTGGAACACCTACCATCCAAGAAAATCCTGAGTTGGACGAACTTGAAGGAGATCTTCATGGGGAACTTCCAGGGCACATACAAGTGCCCTAGGTACCCATGGGATCTCAAGAAGTGCTGACAGATGGCCGGTGAGACCCTCCGTGGGTACATCCGGCGTTTCTCCCAGCAGTGCAATGAGCTACCTAACGTCGCCGACGCCGACGTTATAGGAGCTTTCTTGTCTAGGACCACCTGCAAGTCTCTAGTTCACAGGCTAGGATGTAAGGGCTCTTAAACCACCAAGGAACTCCTAGACATTGCCACCCGCCATGCCTCGGGCGAAGAAGCAGTCGGAGCGATCTTTGACAGCCTCAAAGGCAAGGCGAGACGGGATGAGGACACCAACGAAGGCACCTCCAATCGTCTCGCCAAGAAGAAGAACAAGCAGTGGCGCGAGGGCTCTCTCGTGGCCACCGTAGATCGCAGGGGTGGTCGGAAGCCCACAAAGGGCGCTCCAAACCACTTCAAGAAACTACTCGAGGGACCATGCCCGAACCATGCCTTTCCCGTTAAGCATCTGTACAAGGACTATGGCCTTATGAGGTGGTTCTTGTCTGGAGGCTCGAACAAAGGGGAGCATAGGAAGGACCCTGACCTGACCACGGATGACGCCGAGGGGAAAGACAATGGCTTTCTGATGCTGGATGGCTGCCTCATGATCTTCGGAGGATCAACGGCCTATGACTCCAAGCGCCGCCAGAAGGTCACACGCCGTGAGGTCTATATGACCAAACGGGGCAAGCCTGCCATCCTCTGGTGGTTAGAGTCCACCATAACCTTCGACCAGACCGACCACCTAGAGAGCGTCCCACAACCGGAGAGATATCCACTCATGGTTGACCCGATCGTCGGTACAAAGTGGCTCACCAAGGTACTGATGGATGGGGGCAGCAGCCTCAACATCATGTACGCCGAGACGCTTGACGCCATGTGCATCGACCAAGCGCGCGTCCGACTGACCGGAGCATGTTTCCATGGTGTCGTTCCTGGAAAGTAGGCCATGCCACTTGGGCAGGTTGATTTGCCCGTCACCTTCAGGGGACCGTCCAACTATAGGACGGAGACCCTCACCTTTGAGGGGGTTAGGTTCCACAAAACCTACCACGCCATCCTAGGACAACCATGCTACGCGAAGTTCATGGCCATCCCCAACTACACCTACCTCAAGCTAAAGATGCTAGGCCCCGGCGGGGTCATCACCGTTGGCACCTCCTTTCAGCGTGCCTACGAGTGCGAAGTCGAGTGCTACG